GAGGAACTCCCAGGAAGGACATCTAGAAGGAAGAGACAAGTTTCCCCAAAATAGGGAGATCGTTAGCCGAAGGTCATAGCTGAGGAGAGGCAAAACTGAAGAGATCTCTGATTCCCAAACTCTGAATCTCTGAAAATAGGGTTTCTTCAGATGTCCTCGGCGTTCATGTGCTTTAAACCCCTGGAGGGTTGTACATCAACACACTTCTCAGCCCTTTCCCAGACTCATCAAGTCAGGCTTGGGGTATGGCAGAGAACCCTGAATTTTTTTTTTTAGATGTCCTGCAGGAGAGTCTTCTGGCCACTGAAATTGGTGAATCTCCTGCCCGTATTATCCGGGAACCAAGGGCCATGCGGGACTTTGGGACTTTGGGGGCACTAAGCAGTGAATCACGTCGCTCACTGTTTTGCATACTTGACAGCAAAAGAAAATGAGTTCCCCCCCTCAAGCTCCATTGTCACCAGACCCACCTCTGGCCCCAGGAAAAGGCCAGGGAAATTACATAACGATTTTAACCGTGATGTACCGCGGTGCCAGAGGGGAAATCTGTTTGAGACCTCAGGTGGGGAAGGGAGAGGTGAAGGGGAAGGATTGATGAGCCCCAGGCTGTGGTTGGGATTCTCGGAGACCCGCAGCCCGGCTTTTCCTCTCAGCCAATGACTAGACCTCTTCTGCATGATATTTCTCTCAAATCGATGGGATGGCACAGCAGCACATCAGGCAGAAAAGCAGCTTCTTTTCCCCCTCTGTTCAAGGCACTGGCTCTGAGATTTCAGCAGGGCATCTATTCCCAGGAGTGGTATAGATGGGGGGATAGGGGGTGGGAGGGATACTGGGATCCGTGGTTGTGGGAAATGGGCACTGGTGGAGGGATGGGTGTTTGATCATTGTGTAATTGAAACCCAAGCACAAAACTTTGTAAGTCTACGACTGTACCTCATGGTGTCTCACTAATAAAAATTAAAAAAAATAAAAATAAAAAAGAAAGGTCCTAGTTCTTGGTGGTGAAATGTGAGTACTGGTGAAGGGAGAGGTGTTTGATCATTGTATGACGGAGACTTCAACCTGAAAGCTTAGTAAGTTTTCCCACAGTGATTCAATAAATAAATATAAGAAGAAAATAAATAAATAAATAAAATTATGAAAAAGAAAAAAAACTACAGGACTTGAATGAAATAAAAGAAGACATGAAAGAAAAAAAAAGTTTCTAGTCAATCCTATACTAGCAGAGCTTTCAGGGAAAGGGTGAAACCGTGGTTGAAAAAGATTTATGCCAGGAAATACAAGGTCAGGGGAACAGAGAAGGTGGAAATGAGGAGAGCACAGGAGAGAGTGTTCACATTTTTCTTACGCCATTCTTAAAACATTGGAGGAATCTTTTTTTTTTTTTTTTGCTTCTTGGGTCACACCTGGCGATGCACAGGGGTGACTCCTGGCTCTGCACTCAGGAGTTACTCCTGGCGGTGCTCAGGGGACCATATGGGATGCTGGGAATCGAACCTGGGTCGGCCGCGTGCAAGGCAAACGCCCTACCCGCTGTGCTATCTCTCCAGCCCCGGAATCTATTTTATTTTAATAGCACTGTAGCACTGTCCTCCTGTTGTTCATTGATTTGCTCGAGCGGGCACCAGTAACGTTTCCATTGTGAGACTTGTTGTTACTGGTTTTTGGTATATCAAATAGGCAACAGGGAGCTTGCCAGACTCTGCCCTGGGGGCGGGATACTCTCTGTAGTTTTCTGGGCTCTCAGAGAGGGACAGAGGAATCGAACCCAGGTCAGCTGCGTGCAAGGCAAACGCCCTACCTGCTGCGCTATCGCTCCAGCCCATTTTGTTTTAATAGCCCCCCATATTGAATATAAGTTAATATAAGCTAAGACTCTTCCCCAAGTTAGAATGGTTCGAACTTGACATCTGTTGAAACATAAAGGCTTGGGAGCATGGGGGAACCTTTCAATAGCTCTAGTCATGGGCTCTTTAGCTGATCCTTTGGAATAAAAAGTGAGGAAGAGAAAGATTAGGGGATGAAAGTAACGATCAAAGAAGCAGGAGATTTTCACTAGTGTTCGTTTGAGTTTTCCCCTTACCTAGGCTGCGCCATATGCATGGAACAATGACTCAAAGCTCAGGATCTTTCTTAAGGTCCTTCACCTGACCTAGGGGCAAGTTGAAGCATAAATATGTTCCCTCTTGTTCTCCAACTGTATTTATTTCAGTGGTAAAGCGCAACAAAGTAGATTAGTGGCCCAAATAGTTGTTGGACTAGAACTAACATTTGAAGACCATGACTGATGCGTGAATAGGAAGAAAACTTCATGGATCCTGGGTTACAGAAATCAACGGAAGTAGTTTCATGATGAAGAAAAGTAGAAAAATATTTCTTTATAGAGTAATACAAAAAGTATTGCTGGCGTTTTGAATTACTGTCTAGATAATTCTTATTGATTTTTAAGCTGTATAAAATTGAGTCCTAAGTATCTAGCACTTTGGCTAGCCCATAAACAACTCATAATAATTCTTTAACAGAAAATCCCTCTTCCTCTCTGGGTAGCCCTAAAAGAGTATATTTTTAGTTGACAATGATTTCAGGATCTTAGTTTATACTCAACAGGGCAAAATAAAACGAAATGACAGACTTCTCAGCACAGCTATTACCCATGTGTAGAATAATAGTTCTATGATCAATAAAAGGGTAGTTTATTGAAACTGATATAGAAATTTCAAATAGAGAGCATTTTGAGAAACCTTTTTACTGGAAATTTATTTACTTCCTGGTGTTTACACTTTTAAAACAGTGAATGAAAACTAATAATCAAACCTTATATTGGTTTTAGGTACACAACATAATGATTTGATGAAGGATTTTACTTCAAAATAATTACCAATGACTAGTTAAAAAAATTAACATCTTTACACCTAAGTGCTGATGAGAAGAGGAGAAATATTTTATAGGCTGCTATGGCATAAAAACCAATATTTATTATAAGTGTATTAATAGAGCAAATATAATAGTAGTGCTACATGCTAGTGGGCAATAACTTGTTCACAGACTGAAGGCAATTTTCTGGGGACTAATACTGGTCCTTGGACCAATAGTTGAAAACTACTGGTTAAGTTAATATTCACCATCACACTCCTTCTAACAGACATTTTGTTCTTATGATAAGAATTTAAGAACTATCCGTTAGCAACTTTCAAATATGCAGAACGATTTTTTACTACAGTTAAATAATATAAATTTCATACTATAAATTCTATTTCCATGTCATTTATGTAATACCTGTAGCTTAATACCTTTGAACATGTTTTTTATTCCCTTTTGGCTCATATGACATAACCAAAAATATATAAAATATCCTCTAAAATGGTCTTTAAAACTCATTATTTTGAACATATACCTTCCGGCTGATTTTAAGGGTTACTTTGGCACACTTAGAAACTTCTCAAATCTCAAGTTAAATTAAAATATCTGCTTTGACAAAGTGGGATTAGGTGATAAGACGACAAATAAAATTGGATCAGAAACATACTGTACAGTCTAATTCCTGTGGATTTTCTCCCCAGAATTCATGAACAACAAATCCATCTGTGACAGGATTCTCAGTAGAACTCTAAATGAACTGTTTCCAGAAGACAAAAACAGCCACAACAACGAACCAAACAAAGTCTATGATTGGCTTGTGATGTCATCCGTATATACAGTCATAGATGTTGAACAGTTATAGATATTAAACAATTCTACCATTTAGTTTCATTGCTTTGTGCTGCTGTTATAAACACAAACCCCAGTGGCCTGTGAAAACAAAGGCACATTCCTCCTTCACACAGAGAAGCATTGGAGAGGCTTCAGGTCCATTCCATGTAGGTCTCACTCAAGTTTACAAGATATGGTAGCTGCCCTGATCTGGGCAGACTTTTCTCAAGCAGAGGGAAATGAACAATAACTATTAGAACAATAATTACCTGGCAATGTATTGCATCATTTCTGCCTACATTCTGTGACCTAAAGCAGCATGCTTCAAGCACCTGTCTACAGACCAGTGCTGTTCTGCAGGTGTAGAAAGGTCTCTACCACCTTGGTGATAACTGTCAATCCATGTATACAGGACAGACGACCATTTCCAGGTGGCAAAAGGTTGAAAAAGGCAGGACTAACGCAAGTCTAGTGAACATTTAAGAAAGCAGTGTCCACATTTGGGGAATATAAAATGGCATAGTATGTGACTAACACCCAAGGACTGTAGAGACAAGGGCCAGGAGGATTGGTCCATGGCTGAAAGCCTGCCTCAAGTGCTGGGGAAGAAGGCAGTTGGGATAGAGAAGGGGCCACTGTCAATGATGTTCAAAGAGATCATTTGGAATGGTAGATGTGTGTTGAAAGTGGACAGAGGACCAAACATGATGGCCTCCCAGTAATTGTATTGTAAACCGTCATGCCCAAAGTAGAGAGAGAGTAAGAAGGAAAGCTCCTGCCATAGACACAAGGGGCGGGGTGGGGTGGATTGGGGGGTAGCAGGAGGGATACTGGAGACATTGATAGTTGGAAAGCTACACTGGTGGAGAGAATGGGTGTTTGATCATTCTATGACTGAAACTCAATCATGAAAGCTTTGTGACTATATCTCATGGAATTCAATTTAAAAAAATTTAAAGAATAAAAATGAAAATAAAATAAAATAAAATAAGCACACTGAGGGGAAGTGGAGAAAGGAAAAATAAATCAGTGTCCAGGAACAAAGAGAAGGCTGAGGGGAGAGATTTAATCCTCTTAGAGGAATATAAGCAAATGATTGGGAACTATAGTATACTCTGTCACAATTATAATGATATACGCATTAATAAATAGCACTTCTTATTTCACTTTTACCCCTACTCTAAATGACACTGTTGCTTTAGCATTAGCAGTCAAAGATTTTAAAGTAGTACTATCATTTTTCCCCATTGCCTATCATTTGTCTAGACGCAACTCTATGTCACTCTCTAGTGAGTTGCCCCACTCACCATGCAAGGAGAGAGTTCCATTCCTCACGGTCAAGAATTTGACCCCATAAGGAAAGAATGGGGTAGAGTGGGAGCTTCCGTATAGTGTGATCTGAGCTTGGCCTTGAAAGGGTTTGTCCTCAGATCCAATCCGAAGCTCACCACCATCAGAAACCAGGATGGAGTGTGCCTTGAGTTCGATGGGTCCTGGGTCCATGAAGATCAGCTTGCCCCCTAAGGACAAAATAGAAGATTGTGAGTCCCTGGAAGATGAGGTTCACTTTTACTTAGTACTCCCAATGTCTAAAATTCTCTTTGTGAATTCACTTTCTCTTGGAAGTTCTATTAATCTTGACCACTACTCCTGAAGACAATGGAATGGAAAATCCACTCAAAGGTAGTAGAAATTCTATCCTACTAAGCTAGATAGGTTAAGCTATTTCTATTCATAAGAGTTTTATTTATATATTTTTAAAAACAATAGCCTAAATGTCCAGAAATTTAGGGCTAGCTAAATAAGGGATGACAGGGTCATTGTTTTAACCATTTAAAATAGTGCTCGAGCGGGCCCAGTAACGTCTCCATTTTGAGACTTGTTGTTACTGTGTTTGGCATATTGAATACATCACGGGTAGCTTGCCAGGCTTTGCTGTGCAGGCAAGATACTCTCAGTAGCTTGCCGGGCTCTCCAGAGGGGCAGAGGAATCGAACCCGGCTCTATCGGGCTGGCTGCGTGCAAGGCAAACGCCCTACCGCTGAAAAAGATTAAGTTTTTGTTTAGAGTGTAAACAAAACTATGAATAGAAAATTAGCCTAAATTACAATGATATGAATTATGGTAAAAAATAAATGGAGGATACTGAGGTCTATCAAGATGACATGTGCAGTTCTTTGGCTGATTTACATCCGTTCTACCATTCTCTTGATAACGGACTCAAATTTTCTTATGAAATTGTTCTGCTCCACTGAATAGAGTTGAATGGAACTGCCATTCAAGGGGTGCTATCTACGCTTTGAAGGAAGTACGAAGCCTGGTAATAAGTAGATGTCAGAAATAGTATCTTAATGAGCCTGAGAAGAACTTTTATATCTGAAACACCACCTGCCAGTGACTGCTTTCTGATGGTTATTTGCTTCTGTACCTGCTTCTTCAGGCTTTCCATCAATTCTGTAAGCTATCAATACTTTCCCAATAAATTCCTGCTTTTAAAGTAGAGCTGGTTTCTGTTATTTGTAGCCAAATAACCTATATACTAATTTGCTTTAATGTACACATTTTCTGCACATGAGAATATTATCTTTTAAAATAAATACATGATTTACTATGATAATGGGAAATACTTAAGCTATCAAAATATACCTACAATTTTTTTTTTGGTTTTGGGGTCATGCCTTGTGATGCTTAGGGGTTACTCCTGGCTCTGGACTCAGGAATTACTCCTAGCAGTGGTCAGGGGATCATAAGGAATGCCGGGGATATAACCCATGTCGACCGCATGCAAGGCAAAGGTCCTGCCCACTATATTACCTCTCAAATCCCAAGATACCTACATCTTTAATAAATGATCTATCAGTTCTCTTTCCCTTTGGAAGTCACTGAACTAGCTTTCTCTGTCCTGTAATAAAGTAATCTTCAGAGCTGAGGCATTAGATATAGAAGTATTTTCTAAACCCAGTAATATCTTCCCAACTCACTTAGAATGAAAGTCAAAGTCTTTATTTTGGGGCTACAAAAGACCCCTCAGTATTCACTACATCATTTCAAGTACCCCCTCCAACATCTTCTAAAATGCTCTGCTTCGAACATGTGTTCCAAACACAGTGGTCTCTTTAAGAGTTCTCAAACAGGCTCCAGCATATGTTGTAAGAATATATTCAGGGCTGGAGCGAACAGCGGGTAGGGCCAGATAACCAGGATGGAGTGTGCCTTGAGTTTGAAGGGTCCTGGGTTGGTCTTGCACGTGGCCGACCCGGGTTCGGTTCCCAGCATTCAATATGGTCTACCAAGCATCACCAGGAGTAATTCCTGAGTACAGAGCCAGTAGTAACCCCTGAGCATTGCTGGGTGTGACCCCCCCAAAAAAAGGAAAGGAAAAAAAGAATATATTCATATATTCTTCCTTAACCTATAGTGTGCTCCTGCCCAACACCCACCTGGCTAATTCGTCTATTCAAATGTCCACTTCTCACTGACTGAAGTTTTCCCTCACCGATCACATAAAACAGTATGCATTGATCCTTTACACAAATATTCTTTACTTCATATTATTTATCTTCAGACATCTACTTACATATTTACTTTTCCTTCCCACTCTCCCATTGGAATGTAGACTTTATCAGACACTTATTTTTTTAAATTTTATATTTAATTTTTAAAAAATATGTGGTTGTTGAAGTAACATGATTATAATAGAAGTTAATATAATATTAACTTCCATGCTTTTGATGTACAAAGTTACTCTATGTCCTTCACCAACAAAATGTCAAAGATCCTTCACCACTGCCCCTTGTCTGCAGGTCACTTCCAGTTCACCTCTTAATTGTTTCACACCCCGGGACCTTCCTTCCACTTGGTAAAGTAGCGTTGGAGTCAAAGTCCAAGGGTTTATAATAGATGGCATTTCATGGCACGTTATAATAGGTACTGTTCATTCCCTTGCTTTGCTTATTGATATACGGCACATGAGCAAAATCATCCAGTATTTGTCCTTTTTCGTCCGATTGAATTTGCTCAAACGAACATCCTCTACCCCTGTCCTATGTAGGAAAAGTCATCTTAATCTTTACCTATTCATATTTCATTATCGTGCATTTATTTTCATATACCCAAGTCAACAACAAAAATAAGTAGCTGATATTCAGTAAGTAACTATTGAGCAAATTCATAGTTATATCATTTTAAAGAATATAGTTTAGCTAACTGTATGTTTCTACAAACGTACACAGATATATACATACTCATATTTTCTTGGAAAAGCTGTGTTATTACTTTTACCATAGACATCTAGACATTGTCTCAGTAAGCTAAAGACTGATGAAGAAGTAAAGAGGGCCAGGTATCAGGAACTGCTCATGAGGAGGGTTTGGTAAGAAGTAAAGAGATGGAACTCTTGGTCTGAAGTTTGTTTGAAACTCCATGTGCCAAATTATTGAGTTGGATTGTTGTTTTCCAGAAATCATAACTGGAATTATTTAGATATGTTTTGAAGGAATGAAAGAGGGAGAGAAGAAATAGACTTAAGATGCCCTTAGTCATTTTTGTTTGCCTCCATCTTAGTACAGAGATTGCCATCAATAAATATTTGACCCAGAGTCAAATGCAGAGGTCATTTATTCCTGGACCTTCTTTCTGTTTTAAAATATCTCTAGGCTTTCTCGGCTCTCTTCATGACTACTTCTTCAAAGTAAAAGTACAATTCATGGCACCATCAGTAATTGTTATGGAATGTTTACTCAGAACTGGACCCCCCAAAATGTTCTTCCTTTCAGTCATATCTAAAACAATATACCCTATCATCGCTATCTAGTTTTTCCCATCTATAGAACTTGTGTATGTCCAAGCACAGTAGATACAAGGACCAGGAAGACTGCTCCATAGTTTGAAGCCTGCCTCATGAGCAGGGTTGGGGGTGGGTGGGAGGGTGGGGTGTGGGGGTGGAGAGAAGGAAGCTGGAATAGAGGAGGGATCACTAGGAAAATGAGATTTGGAGGAATCGGTCGGCATGGGAGCTGTGTGCTGCAAGTAGATAAAGGAGCAAACACGGTAACCTCTCGGGGTCTGTATTGCAAACCATAATGCCCAAAAGTAAAGAGAGAGTATGGGGAATATTGTCTGCCAAGGAGGCAGTGGGAGGGTGAGAAAGTGGGGGTATACTGGGGAGAATGGTGGTGGGGAATGTGCACGGGTGGATGGATGGGTATTTGATCATTGTGTGACTGTAACTCAAACAAGAAAGCTTGTCGCTATATCTCACGTGATTCGGTAAAATTAAAAAAAAAACTTGTGCATGAACTGAGCCCTTCCATCTTCAAATTGAGATGAAATTTCTGGTGTAGAGTCTGACACCTCTTTGTGACTAATTGAGATGGTGCCAGTAGCTGCCCTAACTCTTCTTAGCCCTTTTCCAACTCACTACTCTGTCTACTCAAAACTCACAGCAGGGTCCCGTAGGCTACCATTTCCTTCCAACATCTCTCTGTGAGCTAGTCATGACTTATCTTTTATTATTTTTCACATTTATTAATTTGTTTTGTTTTGAGGCCACATGAGGAAGTCAGTGCTCAAGGCTTATTCCTGACTATGCACTCAGCATTTACTTCTGGTGGGTCTCTGGGAACCATATGAGGTGCCAGGAATCAAACTCAGGTCAGCTATGTACAAGGCAAACACTTTGCCTGCTGTACTTTGATTCCAACCCAGATGACTTCCTTTTAACACATAGGTCTACTCTAGAGCAAACTATCAAGAAACAAGAAACTCTCCTTTGATGATAATAGACTTGACGCTAAGTGGCACTACACTGTTTACCAAACTTTTAAATAACCTACTAGAATTCTGAATTGAATTTCCCATTCTATTGTCATTACAGTGATAGGACTCATCATTAAAAATGCAATAATCATCATGTGTCCCAACGTGAAGTAGAGGGAACAAATGTGACTCAGGTTACAGGTCACATTCTTCTATTACTAAACATTTTCCACTCACTACTGCCCTGATTAATGATCTTCAATGGGTGGATAATGAATTTGCAAGACAGGACATCTCCCATAGTAAACAGTCAGGAGACCTGAATTGACCTTGATGAGCCAATGGAACTCAGAGCACAGACCAAGGCTCCTTTCCTGACTCAGTAATTGATCTGTCCTGACTTTGTATGTCCCATAAAATTTCTGTCTACTTGGTTCCCCCAAATTGGTTTAACTCAGTGTCATGGATCATGGGTTAGTTTGTTTTCTCAGTGGTGAAAATATGATAAAAATCACATTTTTGTTAAAGCTTCTTCCATTGTATCTGAAATCCATATTAGAGAGAGCTCTCATGATTGGGACTAGAGAGAGAGTACAGCAAACAGTGTTGTATCACTTTAGCATCAAGTTTATTATCACCAAAGGAGAATAGAAGCTTGCCTTACACAACGCAGACCTGAGTTCAATCTCTGCTTCTGCATATGGACCTCTGAGGCACACCAGAAGTGATTTTTGAGCTTAGAGACAGGATTAAGTATGGCCAG